TATTTTTGTGTGAACTAGAGAGGAGCTTGTCTGAGATGCTTACTCATGTTACTTTCTTGGCCCAGACTCAGGCCCCTCTTATCTGCCCATTGCTTTGGCAGTGGCTCTTCCTCCGGTCCCTCAAGGCCATTCCCTCTGTCCTCTACACATATACAGAATGAGATGGCCAGCTGCATTTGCATTTAATTCAAATAAATGAGTCAGTTCTGGGACTAATATGCACACCATCTGGGCTGTGGAGACATCCTTGAGTAAAGCAATCCTCCAATCCCAGGGGCTTTGAAACATTCCTTCTTCCAGAAGGCTTTTCAGTATTAATGGTTCACCTTGCATTGATCCCTGCACAGGAAAGGAACATGCCAGTTGATTTGGATCAAACTCTCTCCAGGATGATAGGAAGTCATTGGTATCCCAACTGAGCTGAGTGTATGAACTGAAACAAGGATGGCAACTGTGCAAATGTTGAAAAATGATCAGGGCAGTTGTAGAATGTATAAGTGAAGAAATGTTAACATACAGATGTAGTTAGGTTATGGAATGGCTATCCAACTTTATTAATGGGGTGTGGGTTGTGAAGACGGCATCTTTGCCCAATGATTGGAAGAATGCCCATTGTTTAATGTATTTATGGATAAATATATCAGGAATGTTTGTGGTGACATTAGAGGTGTACTGTTGGGGTAATGAATGTTCATGATGCATATAGTTGATGCCATGTTGTTGGCTGAGAACCCAAATGATTTGCACAAATGTTAGAAAGAAGGTATGATAGAGTTACAAGCTGGAATCTGAACATTAATGAATCAAAAGTCAAGGTTGCTTTGTTTGACAGGGAAAATGGAGTGAATTGTTGCACGTTATATGCAAGTGGCCAAAAAACTAAAGCAAGTCAATGAATTTGTGTGCAGGTAGTCCCCAGTTTAAGAACAAGTCCCGTTCCTATTGTCTGTCCTTGTTGAATTTGTATGTAAGCCGGAGCAGTATTATTGCATAATATTGTATAAGTAGAATTGTGTAATGAACTCGAATCATTGTGTATTTAACCTGAATTTTGCTACAGTAGGCTCCGTTCTTAACTATGGGTTGTCTGCAACCCGGGCGTTCTTAACCCAGGGACTACCTGTATCTTGGCAGAATGGAGGAAATGGAAAATTTTAAGATATGCGCATGCAGGAAGAAAGGCAGGAGTAATTTGTTGAGATGAATGAGTTGGTTGCGAGAAGGGTCAGCTTCTACCTGATTATGTCAGGAGATGCATAAAAAGTAGCTGAATGCAGTGGGAATGGGGCATATGAGAAGTGGGGGAAGGGTACCGAATAAATGTGGATTGAATACAGAAGTGAGTGACTAGCGCGTGATGAGACGGTTTGGTCCTGTGCAAAGAAGGAATGAGGATCAAATTGCAAAAGAGTTGTGTGAAGGACGAGTGAATGGATCAAGAAGGTGTAAGGCCACAGTTGGGTGTTGGTGTGAGAGAGGTGAGAAGTCAGAAGGCCATGCACGAAGCAATATACAAGCAGTGGAAGCAATGTATGAACCATGGAAGCAAGAATGGAAACCACGAAGAGATACAGTGAATGGGGGTGGCATTGTAAGAGAATCCTGAAACTTCTTGTGGGGTTGCAAAAGAAATGGGAGTGAGTCAAAATATTAATAACACCATGCAGATGGGTATTTCAGGGACATCTGACCTGGAAAAAGGATGGTTCGCCCTTTGGTCTTGCATCCTGGGAGAAAGAAGATCCCATCACTCTTGGAGACCCACCTGAATGAAGTCACCAATCATTGAGTGCTAGAATTTGGGCTTGTTCAATTTCCAAGATTCTGTAGATTAACCCTCTGACCATAAGCCTAATTAATGAGATTCCATCTCTTTCTGGATTTTACTCTGCTGTTAGGAGCATGACAAGCGTAAACTATTTTTACCTACATTTCCTTTTCTTATCTCATACTTTTAATTTCTTTGGCTTCCTATATTGTACTCTTTCCTGTGCTAGGCATACTGTTGCCTACCCTGAAAGCGGGATGGGTGTGTGAGGATGTGTAAAGGGAGCAAGTCCAGATGTTGTGATCACCAGACCCTGCTCTGGTTACAACAGACCAAAATGTCAGAATGGCTTCCCATCCTTTCGAGGTGAGGTGCATACGGAAGGGGGCTTTAGCACTGAAAAAGAAGGAAGCAACAGCTGTAAAACAGCAACAACAAAATGCCTGGGTTTGCCCATATGTGACAGAACCCTACCCACAGGGCTGCAATCACCTTCTCCAAAGTCTTAAAATTTGCCTCTCAGCCTTCCCAAGATTGCTTATTTCTACCTTAAAATATATTATAGGAGATTAATATTGATGGTTGGTGAGCTGGATTTGACATCAGAGGTACAGTTATGGACTTTAACAGCCTAGTGCAGTGTTTCTCAACTTCGGCAACTTTAAGATGTGTGGACTTCAACTCCCAGAATTCCCCTGCTGGCTGAGGAATTCTGGGAGTTGAAGTCCATATATCTTAAAGTTGCCAAGGTCGAGAAACACTGGCCTAGTGACTTAACTGAAATAGCCTTTTTCCCCCTGTTAATCTTCTATCAACTGGTTTTTGCTGGTAATCTGCCTCTAAATCTGGAGTTTATACTTCTATTTTTTCCTCCCTGGTTCTGTGATCTTTATCTATATTAGTGCCTTCAAGTCCTTCTTGACTTCTGGAGACTGCCTGGACAACTCCCTGCAGTTTTCCTGGCAAGGTTTTTTGGAATTAGCTTGCCATTACAGTACCTTCTTCCTAGGGCTGAGAGAAGGACTGGCCCTAAGTCACCCAGCTGGCTTCATGCCCAAGGCAAGACTCAAACTCAGATTTCTCTGCTCCTAGTCCAGCACCTTAACCTCTAGAGCAGCGTTCTTCAAACTCAGCAACTTTAAGATGTGTGGACTTCAACTCCCAGAATTCCCCAACCTGCACCAGCTGGGGAATTCTGGGAGTTGAAGTCTACCCATGTTAAAGTTGCCGAGTTTGAACTGCTCTACACCAAACTGAACTGGGGGAAATGCAACTTTCTGCAGTATTTGGTCTTGTCCATTCACTTGTATTTCCTATCCCCCTCTCCATATTTCTGTTGCACAATGCATACCCTGATGAAATACTGGGGGGAAAAAATCCAGATGTAGTCTTAGATATGGTTGCATCAAGGTTCATGTGTGGAATGACATTCTATCACAAGAACAGAATCTTGATTCAATGTTATCTTTCAAGATTGATTTTATCTGTGCGTATTTTTCCTCCAGGTGTGCATTCATAAAACACTACCTAAACAGAATCTCAAATTAATCCTATGGGCAACTCCATCCTTGGGACTGTCCTCTTCCTTCCCGCCAGCATTTTTTCAATGCACAAATTACAGACCCGATGAAAAGGCCAAATGAGGGATGAATAAATAGAAATTAACAGAGGCAGCATCCAAAAGAGTGCGCACGGACAATTTCTGAACATGGAGCATGAACTGATGGTCAACCCCTAATGCATCCAGTTGCCCTTTAGACATGAGGTAAGAAGTTTAGGAATCCCCAAAGTCAGGGCAGAAATTCAGATAAGAAGAAGTCTGCAGGTGATAGATCAACCTAGCTAACAGTCATCAATCAGACCTCAAACTCCTGGGGTACAGTTAAAAGCCATTTCCTTTTCCTACTGTTAGGAATTACAGTGATTTGTTTCACTGCCTCTAAAGGGGAAACAAAGCAAGACCAGGACCCACTTTTCAAAGAAATACACACACATCACAAGCAAGATAAATAACAACAACCATTTGTAAGAAAGGTCAGGGGTTTCTCTGAAATCCTCCCATCGCTGGCAAATTCACTTCCAAGAATGGAAATCCTGTCCCCCCCCCCTTTTTTTTTAAATACCTAACCCACAACCTTTTGGAAATTTTGTCCAGGCCTTTTAATGGCTCAGCCCTCTGTCATACAGAAAATGTGCAAAGCCCACTGGTCACATGAGACAGATTTGTGATCACCAAGAATCTAAAATGTATCTAAAGTCTATAATATCTTTATATATTTTACTGCAGTGCCTGGTTAACATGAATGGATGTCTTAGGTACTCAAGGCACCCCCTGTCCTGGCTATTTCATCCTGTCTTTAGATGACAGAAGAATTTCCACGAGAGCATTTCTCAGAGATCATCATGGGGGAGTTTCTTCAAAGATAGAGTTTATTGCTAAAAATGTTTTGCTCAGTCATGGTTGATATGTACACTGATATGTTGTCAAAGGAGTATTCAAGTAAACATTTTCAATATCTCTAGCTTTTCCCCCCTGCCCTTCTATACACAAACATTAAAAATAAATAAACTGTACACGAGAAAGTTCTTTTAACATCTCTACATTACTATATGTATTCCAAAAAAAAAAAAAAATCACTCTTTCATAACAACATACACTTAAAAACAAAACAAAAAAAATATTCTTATTCAATATACGTTAAAAAACAAAACGAAACAGAACCCTAGACAACTCGGAAAATCTGTCTGAAAATCAGTAACACGTTTGGAAGAGGAAAAACGAGCAAACAAACAGGAGCACAGGAAACAGAAATCACATCTTAAAGGAGTTATAGGGACCAGGCATTATAAACCAGCTTTATAGGAAAATATTCTCCTTTTCTCATATGCCAAAGGAAACTGTTCAGTTTCAAAATGGTGGGGGCTTCAATATGTGGTCCTGCATTGTCATTATCTTATTATTAATAACAAGAATTAAAAAAAAACCTCAACAACGACAAAAAAAATACAGCTGGATTCCCTCCTCCTTTAAAACTCTCTATATTTACAGTGGGTGGCAATTCTAATTTTTGTTAGAACGCTATATATGTATAAAAATAGACATCTTAGCTAATGCTTAGCTTTTTTTTTTTTTCATGGCCTGCACTGCAGTTCCTCTGGGGTTTCTCTTTTCCCATTTCAAATAAAATAAAATAATTAAAAAAGGGGGGGAGGAAAAAGGGGGGAAAAACAGTGCAAGGGGCTGAGGGGGCGGCGGGTGGGGAAGAGGACAGAGAAATGAATAAGCAAAGTGTCTTGCGAACACAGATCCGTGTCTGTACGTCTCTTTGTCAAAGCGACACTAAGTAGGCAACAAGTTTTCAATTCAACCGTCCAAGCTTTGCTCAGGGTTGCAGGATGATTGGCACCTGTCAAGTCCGTTAACCAAGATGGCTTGAATCCCTGGCCACCCTCTCTGGATGCTTCAGCCTTCCGGATGGATTCCCGTCTGTCGGATCGGTGCAGCCTTACTTCCTCGCCAACGTCCCCCATCCCAAGGCCCTAGCATGACTCCCAGCGGAGGTTTTCTGGACCTAGGCCACATAACCACACACCACGCATCCAGGAGTGGGGACGTCCCCTAAGTCTTCAGCCTGCCCCCCTCCCCATAATTAACAGGAGCACTTGCACTCTGAAATCACTGGATACTGAACGGGGATCCATGTGCAGTATTTTTGCCTGGACCATCCTTGGCAGTACCATCTCAGGAACGTCTTGGTGACAGACCTGATGGGTTTGCAGGACATACCCTCCGGAAAGGAACAGGACCTTTCCGCCAAGCAGTTCCCTTCCTTGATGTACCGAGGCCAAAATCGGCTGCCCAGGTCCTTCCAAGTATACATCACCGGGCAGTAGGTATACGCCCAAAGCCACTGAAGAAATTTCCGGCGGGCTTTTTTGCCCATCTTGACCTTGGTCCTATACGGCGTCTCGCCAAGGTCCAGCTTCTTCAGCTCCCCGGGCAAAGGTCCCTGTCCCTTGAACCTGTGCAAGGGCTCCAAGCTGGAGACGTTCCCCTGCGCCGGCGCCGCCACCGACATGAAGTTGGGGTCAAAATTGCTCCCCAGCTTCTTGCGCAAAGTCCGATCATCCAAATCTTGCTCCTTGGGGTCATACTCTGGATCCGGATGCTCGATAATATCCTTGATGGGCAGGTTGTCGCTAGGCGAAGGCCGGAGGCGAAGGTAGGGCTGGAGGGAGCCGGGCTGGAGCAGCAACGCCAGGGAAGAGCAGACCAGGAGTGCCTGGGAGGCCTTCATGCTCTCCTCTGCCGGTCCCGGGGGTCCCTTGGCGACGGCGCTGCAAGGGAGCCACGTCCCTCGCTCTCCCGATTGTTCCCGAGCGGGGCGTTAATGCTCCGCAGACCCCCTTGCCAAGTCCAAGGGATTCATAAATAGGTTGAGAGAAAATCCAACCAGGCCTCTTGCTTTAAATAGATCGCCAGGGGGTTAGATGACAGGCGCAGGCGAGGTCCCCTCTCACGCTCCCCTCTGCGCGAGCATGGTGAAGAGCAAAAACGTGGGGTGCTGGGGGTGGGGGCGGCAGGGCAGGAGCCAATGGCCTTTGGGGGGCAGGGAGCAGCGGCCCCCTCCTTGCGCACCCGAGGGCAGCCGGTTTCTTTTCGCTCCCGGCGAAGCCCCACCCGCCCTTCTCCTGTCTCTCCCCTCGCTCTCCCTCTCTCTTCCCAAAAATTCACAGCGGTCCCGACTTCATCCCCATGGTGACAGCTGGACTTAGACCCACGGCAACATGTCTAGACTGCATGACAGCGTTTGGCGTGAGATTGGAGGCCAAGAATAAAACCTTCTTTTATAGATGGGGGAGCCGTGAAAAGGGGGGGAAGAATTGGCTGCAGCAAGGGAGGGGGCGGGAGGGGAGAAAGAGAGCCGGAGGTCACAAGGAGCGCTTCCAGTTTTTGGAGGGGGTCTTCCAACTTCTGGGTTGGGGGCGGCGGCGCCTGCTTTTTTTCCTTGGCCGCCTCTCTTCTCGTAGCTCCTCAGAGGAGAACGGCCGGGGACCCCCCAGGAATGGTGCCGCCCCAGTGCAAAACGGGCTTCATCGCGGGGCTCTCGGCGGCGAGGGGG